TTTTTTTCATCTGTTTCATACAGGAATGTACGAATAAGTGCTGCAATGCTGCCACATGTACATTTACCCAAGGATCTGCATGTGCTCACGGAGCATGTTGTGAAAACTGTCAGGTCTGAAATGTGTTGGATTTAGCTTTATGGTTGATTATTGTGCTTTTTGCACCAAGAAAAAACATTTGGAAATGTGGGTGAGTTAACTTTTTTCTCTCTTCTGTTTTTTAGCTGAAAGTTGCAGGAACGCCATGCAGAAATTCTGTCAATACCTGTGATCTTCCTGAATATTGTAATGGAAGAAATGAATCCTGTCCGAATGACTTTTATCTCATGGATGGTCTGCCCTGTGAAAACAATGCTGCGTATTGCTATGAAGGGCGCTGCCAGACATATGATTATCAGTGCGGACATCTGTTTGCACCAGGTACATCTAATAATAATTCATTACTTTTTTCATGCTTTTAGTTTTCAGTAATGTGGTTACGATCACTAGGCAAGACTTCTCAGACTTTTCTTGTTCTTTTTTCTGGATATTATTTCTCTTTTTGGCAGATAATGCAATAAAAGCAGCAGATATTTGTTTCCAAGATGCAAATATTCAGGGAGATCGGTTTGGTAACTGTGGATCCAACAGCAATGGAAACTACATCAAATGTACTTTAGCGTAAGTACTCTCTAATGATGTCATTAATTCATCATCTCATGAATTTAAGGATTTTAGATAACATGTGTTGAAAAAGTACTGCGCTAGTCATGTTGAACATCGACTTTGTTTTATAAAGTCGGTCAAATCTGAGAAGAATTCCCATCTTAATCCCATCCCCTCAGACTTTGCTCTTTTTGTACAATGATGTATAGCTATATCTAATGATATCTAATGAAAACATGGACAATTTTAATCTTATAATTTGGCACTTTCTAAGTCCTCTTATTTTCCATTTTTTGATGCCCTGTTGGAGTTCACTTTTCAAAGATGTTTGGTTGAAATAAACACCTTCCTAACTATGGTTTGATACTTAAATCTAGCCATGATTTCTTATGGAACAACATTATTTGTGAACAAACTTATTTCCTTTTACTTGCCAAATGTTAAATGTGAGATTATATTTACTCATTGAACAAAAACATGAGTTTTTGAACATATGTGAATGTGTTTGAAAAAAAAGTAGCATTACTTTATCTGATGGCAGTAACTGAGTGATAAGATACAATTGTAGCATTTCAGTTAATGATTAGATTTACCTTTTTTTCATCCAGTGTTTAAGTCATTTGCAACTGTGATTCATTTTCTTAATTTAACTCTGTTACACAGAAATACCATGTGTGGAAAGGTGCAGTGCACCAACGTGAATGTGAATAACCCTCCTCCTGGTGCCACAGTCAGTATCAAAATAGTTGCTGGGAAGACTTGTGTTAATGCAGACTTCAACCTTGGCACAGATGTGCTGGACCCAGCCTATGTTAACCCTGGCAGCCCCTGTGCTACAGGAAAGGTGAGCAAACTATTTTAATGCCAAAGTAAAGAAATGTAACAACTAATGCAAATATGGTATATGAGTCATTAGCAGAAAAAACTGCTAATGACTCAATCTAACTGCACCAGTAAGTAACATTACTTTTCTTTTAGACCTGTGTGAACTTTCAGTGTGTGAATGCCTCTGCTCTCCTGCCCAACTTGATCTGTGATGCAAAAACCACCTGTAATGGCCGAGGGGTAAAGTTTCTTCTTTTCTTTTTTTTGTCTTTCTTTACTCAGATTCCAGCCACTTAGGGCCTGCTGGATATTTACTCTTTAATGTTTATTTCAGGTTTGTAACAACCTAGGTCACTGCCACTGTGAAAATGGCTGGGGCCCACCCTACTGTGACAGGTCAGGGTGGGGTGGCAGCATAGACAGCGGCCCTGCTCAAATAGGTACGTCTTAATTCACCGGTTATGACTTATGACAAATAAGTCCCCTAATACCACATGTGTGGCAATATGACCATCTGAATTCCTCATTAGATACACAGTCATCTGTTATCCCCTCATTAGTGGAGACATTATTGCCGTAGCATTTGTTGTTGTATCATCTGTATGGGAAAATTTTCATTTTTACCAACGACATGCAGGGTATGTCTGCTGGATCAAAAACAATGTGATAGTTCACTATTAATTTTCATCTAATAAAAAGCAGAACTTTTAGAAAGTTCCCTCCTGGTGCAATTAAATTTTCACTATTGTTCCTAATTCACATCTGAACTTAATAAAGAACAAACATCTCTTTTTTGCACAAGACTACTCCCTCAGAAACGGCCTGCTGATTTTCTTCCTCTTGGTGGTTCCTCTTCTGGTTCTTCTCATTTTGGTGCTCCTTTACATCTTTAGGAGAGAGTCCTTAGAGCCTTGCCTCAAAAGGTAAACTTCAACTCAAATTAAGTGTACATACTAATAGTTTTGTTTTTCATATGGTGTTGTACATTTTGATTTTTTTTTCTTTTTCAGGTTACGTAAGACTCAGACCAAAAACACAAATGCAGGCTCAAACAGCAATGCTCAAACGGGTGCCAGAACCATACCTCCACCTGAGCGTCCCACCAACCGGGTAAATATATTTATCCACTTATCTTCATAGTTATGGTAAAAAGAAAGTACACTCTCTGTCGATCCAAGGCTTTTACATCTTAGGGCATGTTACAAATGTCCTTAACAGGTTCTAAAATGATTTAAATGCAACCTGATAGGCACAAGAACAAACTGTGTCATTCTCAAATGAACAGAAATTGTGAAAATGCAAAGCAGGAAAGACATCAGAAATGAACTTAATTGATCTGTCTATTAATCTGGGACGGGTTAGAAGGCCACACAATATGAAGGCCATCATTCTACAGTGAAAAAGATTCACAAGTGGAACACATTCAAGACAGCTGCTAGTCTTCCCAAATTCATCCCAAGGTCGGACTATGCAATGCTCAGAGAAATGGCAACAATTCCATGACGGCACAAACAGAAACACAAGGTTGGTCAAGGAAGCCGCTTCTCTTTAAAATGAAAACATGGCAGCACAGCTTAGCTATGCAAAGTTGACCAAACTTTGCAAAGCAAATTTGTAACATTCTGAAAATAAAGGAGCCAAGTCAAAGAATGGCCCAGTCAAAGTCCAGACTTAAACCAGGAGTTTAAGAGAGATGTGCATGCAAAGCTCAATTAACAGAAGCAACATTGTCCACAGTCACGTGAGACTTATAGAGAAAATGATTACATGAAGTTATTGCTGTTTAAAGTGATTTTAGATGCTGTTGGATCACAGGGTGTAGTTCATTTTTCACACACTGTTTCTGCATTTTGGCTGACATCATGCAATATGTCATATCCTTGTGCATAAAACCTTAAAACTTAAAGAGTGTGTACTTGTGTGAAGGACGTGAAGTGCAATGTTTGTTTATTTTCTAGTGAAAATGCAAATCCCTAAACAGGAAAGGTAACTCTGTTAGATGTTTAGTGTTTAGTGTTGCTCATTGTTGTGTTTGCCTTGTTCTTATTCTAGCCTGCATTTCCAGCAGCTGCCTCAACTCCAGTTTCTGGGTATGAACGGACTTACTTTTTTACTTAACTAAATCCATACTTCCCTCATAGATAAATGGAAACTGAAGCTGTCAGTACACAAACAAACATGTGTGATCGGTTTCTGACTTTAAACATAATCTGTCAGTTTCAAGTACGGAGAAACGAACTACTGGGATGATGAAAACAGTCATGACCCCCCTGAACAACCACCTCCTGTACAAGGCCCTGGAGTACCCAGACCAATCCAACCGAAACAGCTACCAAGCTAATTGCTTTCATACAGTATCATTTAAATTATTTTCTGAAGTTATGAATTTGCTACAGATCAAAACTGTATGAAGAGACTATTTTAAAATACTAATTAAAGGCACGCTGTTTGTAAGATTGACTGTTATTATGTGGTAGTGGATGAGGCTGGTAAATGTTTACTGACTGTTTTATTAGGTCTTTTTACTATTTGGGGATACATGCAAATAAAATTCAAAAAGAGTTTTATATTTTACATCATCATGCTTTTTAAAAAAATAAATATTATTGATGTTTCTTGCAGTTAAATACAATTGTTATAATGTGTGCAATGTAATAATGAAGGGTATCAAAAATGGACTTTGATTGTTTCGTTGTAACTGAGTAAAAATTTCTTGTGGCTTTTAAATTATTTCTACACTAAGAATAGAAACAGAAACACTGTGTGGAGAATCATAGAGTCAAAATGGCAAAAAAAAATAAAATAAAATGTAAAACTAAATAAAGCTTCAGCATCCAGCCCATTTTGGCCACTTAAGATGTGTTGATAGAACTGCAATTTATTTATTTTGAAATTTCTGTTGCCCTCAATACTATGCCTCTTTTTTACTCTTTTGTTTTTTGTTTTTTAAATAAAGGGTATATAAAAGTGGCTTTGCCAATAACAACTTCTTGAGGCTTCTACCTTGTGACAGGAATGTGACTCAAAACTGACTTGAAATCATTTCATCACATCATAGATATTTTTGACATATTTTGAAAGATGATAGATAGATAGATAGAATATTATTTCAAACATGCAAATATAATTGAAATAACAAGAGAGAAAAAACAAAACTTAAAAACCATCAAGTTTTCATGTATATATCTACATAATGTGTGTGCTTGAAAAGGAGTAGGATGAAGTTTACACTTTTCCTGTTCCTACCCCCTTATTTCAAATTTCATTGCTTACAAATCCATCTCCAGAATTCAACATTATTTGATCCATATATGTTTAACTATGTACAAGTCTAACACATTGAACATACACAAATAAAACCATTTTCAGCACATAAACCAAAACAACAACAAACTACATTTTTACATAAACTAATCACCCTGTGTTTAACACCTGCTTAATGTGTGAATTTTTGCATTGATTTACTTTTCTTGATTTCATCTGTACAGGTGTTCCACACACTAACTCCTCTGACTGTAATGGTGTGATATTTTACATTTGTCCTTACTACTGGCGTGCTGGTCATGAGTATTTGGTCTTATTTGGAACAAGTTCTGAATGTTGTGGGGCAAAGATTTATTTGCTGCCTTGTACATTGTTTGCGCAGTTCTGAGGTCAACCAAATCTTTAAATTTGAGAATATTTCATTTGATAAAAAGTGGATTTGAAGGTTCTCTTGAAGTAGCTTTATTTGTTATCCTTATTGCTCTTTTTCTGCAGAATGTATATTGGATGGGTGTGTGTTTTGTACTTGTTTCCCCACACGACCACACAGTATGTCATGTACGGCAGTATGATAGAACAATACAGAGTATATAATGATGTTTGATTTATGAGATCCTTAACCTTGAAGAGAATTGCCAGAGACTTCGATATTTTGCCTTTGATATAAGTAATGTCTGGAATCCAGGATATTTTGTGATGTATTATCACACCAAGGAATTTTATTTCAGATACTGTTATTTATTGTCAGTTTACTATTAGTAGAATATGTGCATTTCCCAAATATTATGAATTTTGCTTTACTCGGGTTCAATGTTAATTTATTATGGTCAAACCAGGTCTTCAGATTATTTAATTCATTTTCTAGTTCATTCAGAAGTTGTTCCAAGTTACTTCCACAGCACAGTAAGTTTGTATTATATTGTATAATATTATTTTCAAAGATGTTGAAATTGCACATATCTCATTAATGTACAATATGAAAAGCAGCAGCCCCAAAACTGATCCTTGGGGATCAGTTTTGATCCGATAGTTTGCTATCTCCAGCTTTATACATTGGATCTAACTTTGCGATTTTCATCTTATCTGAAAATAATCCACTTTGTAATGACAGATTACAAATGTAGGTAAATGGTTTCACAATACATCCAATAATATCTTTAATTAAGTCCATATCAATGCCATCACAGTCATTTGGTTTCTTGGAGTTAAAGGATGTAACTACATCCATAATTTCCTCTTCATCTACTCCCCTCATAAACATTGAGTTTGCTACATTGATAGTTTTAGGAGGGTGCCCAGATTTTACAATTTCTTTAGCCAAGCTAGGACCAACATCAAGAAAAAAGTCATTAAAACAATTTGCGATTCGTTTTATGTCACTAGTCGTTGTGTTTTGTATTTGAAAGTTATTTGGATATTCCAATCCTTTAGATCCTTTATTTACAATATTATTTAGTACTGTACAACACAAGGTTGGTCAAGACGTCATTTACAATATTATGTGCTTTTATTTTGAAGGACGTCGGTAGGAAATGACACGCGGAAGAATATGAGGAAGTTAATATCCAACATGGCTGCAAACAGAGTACAAATGTGAGTAGTAGAAGCTAGGTTGTGAAGCTGCTCTTTCGTAGCCCATGACAACTGAGGAGGCCGTGAGTGTCAGCAGGGCTTCGGCCTGTCTGTGTGTCCTCTGCGGGCTACCCGCTGCTGGGAAGTCCACCCTGGCCCGCCGGATTCTCAGTACCGCCGCACAGCATGGATGGAGAGCCACTGTGGTGCCATACGATGACCTGATCCCAGAGCAAGCTTTTCGAACCAAAGTGGTCGAGGATGGTGTTAACCTGCAAGAAATGGTAAGGACATGATTCAAATGTAATGTGAACCAACCATCCTGCGTAATATTATCTATAGTAGGGCATTATGACTATTAGAGAACGCAATCAAAATAGTACAGCTTTACATTAAATAACATCGTTTGGTGCTAATTAACAGAAAAGGTAAAAAAAAAAAAAAAAATTTAGCTCTTTGACAGCACTAAGTTAGGTCAATTTACCCATCCATGTAAGTAAATTGCATGTGTTCAGTGCTTGAAGATTAGAGGTTAGATTTGTTTTGGGGTCTTTTGGCTAATTCGGGTAACTCTCACTACACTTTTCCATCAAATGTTTTACCCTTTCCCAGTTTAGGAAAGGGTAAAACATTGACATAGATAAAACATCAGATAGTTTAGGCCATGGTAAATTTTAGCACTTGCATCATAGGATATTTGAGGATAAGTATTTTGTCCAAGGACACTTCATCATATACAGTCCAGGAGCTGGGGATTGACCCAACATTAGTAAACAACCTGCTGTAAGTCTTGAGCCAACATAAACAACAAGCTTCTTAATTTCCCTGTAATGTTACCTTTTGCTACACGATATGTGACTGTATTAATTATTCAAAGTACTTTTATTCTGCAGCAGATTGTTTTTAAAATCCATATTGTCTCCATACATCATAAGTAGCTTGAGTATGTCCTACTAATTTTAGAACTGATTCTCCTCTCTAGCACACTGAATGGAAGTCACACAGACAAGCTGTGTTGTACTGTATTGAGCAGTTCTTGCAGAAGTCAGAAATACTGCCAGAGGTACCAAGCAGCTCTGGGATCAGTGTTGCTGCCTGGGAACAGTGCACTCAAGGTCTGATGGGGCCTAAAGGTCTGAAGCCACCTCTCGTCTTCCTACTGGACGACAACTTCTACTATCCAAGTATGAGATATGAAGTTTGTCAGCTTGCAAGGAAGTGTAAGACCCCTCTTATCAACTGAATATGCCACTTAACGTATGCAGCTCTTCAAATATTAGGTTAACGTCTTCTGATGTTGCAGATTCGCTGGGTTTCTGCCAGGTCTACCTACAATGTGATTTAGAATCATGCATCAGCAGAAACCAGAGCAGGTCTCAGCCCGTTCCCACTGAGGTGATACTGGAGATGGTGAAGCGGTTGGAGTCTCCGAATCCTCAGAAGAACTCATGGGAGATTAACAGCATTACACTTAACAGCACAGGAACTGTGTCCAAATCTGACATGTAAGGCAGCAGAAAGAGCAGCCATAAAGATTAATTACCAAAGTCAATTCATAAGTCAGGCTTTAATTTGTTGCCTCTGTGTTCTCCTATGTGGCTTATCCTCAGCCAGAGGGTGATGGAGTTGATCTCCTCTGCACTAAATAACCCACTAAGCCTGGGAGAAGACAACAAAGAACAAAAGGTGCGTCACTGTAGAGTAAACTTGAGACACATGCTAGTGATGTAGCTACAGAAGCAGATCATTTCTATCATTTCTAAAGGTTTAACATATGAAATAACGCATCGTCAAGAGTCCTCAAATCAACAGTACCTAATCAGAGGGGGCCAACCTCAAGCATGACCCCCCCTTTAAAACAGCCCACAGACCCTAAGGAGTGAGACTGTTTATAAGTGGGTTGTCAGTTGAGTAAAATAGATTTTTGTCTATCTCAGTGGTAAAGAAAGTGACCCAGAGCCTCTTCCATGCAACTCTGAAAGTTTTAACCGTCAGCTATATTGGAACATCATTACACCAAGCTACCGTTAAGGGGATGGATGAGGGATGGGAAAGGAGACAGAGAAGGAAAAAAATGAAGGGGAGGGGTTAAGATATAGCAATTACTACCATCATCATCAACATGCAATAATAATAACAATGACTCATTATTAACACATACTGTTTAAAAAAAAAATACTCACTCATGATCATAAACAACAGTACTAGCAGGTAGTCTTGTCTTGATATTACATAGTAATAACAGGTCCCTTAATACTACATATTATAAGTGGAAAATTAGAAATATATTAAAAGGACAGTTTTGCACTGAGATAAGAATGCATCATTAGTAGTGGAAATACAAGAAGCCAGAGAAATACCATCATGCATAACTGAATTCTTTTTTATCTATGTTGCTGTTTTCATATATACATTGGTATTGGCTTAAGACATGCACCTGCACATATATCATCATCTATTTTGCAGGATGCTGATCGTCTGAAATGTGCCAATAGTGTTGTCCACCAGGCTGACCAGGCCTGTCGACGCCTCATCTCTGAAGCCATGAAGACTGCCAGAGGTCAGCTTTGGATAATATTTATTATTTCAAGTTTACCAGAGCATGCTGCCACTTGAAG